TCCTTCTCTCCTTCTCTCCTTCTCTCCTTCTCTCCTTCTCTCCTTCTTTCCTGTCTTCCTTTCTTCCTTTTTTCCTTTTTTCCTTTTTTCCTCTTTTCCTCTTTTCCTCTTTTCCTCTTGTCCTCTTGTCCTCTTTTCCTCTTTTCCTCTTTTCCTCTTTTCCCCTTTTCCCCTTTTCCCCTTTTCCCCTTTTCCTTTTCATTTTCCTTGTCCTTTTCCTTTTCCTTTTCCTTTTTTTTCTGTGTTTGTCTGTGTTTTTCTTTTCTTTTCTTTTCTTTTCTTTTCTTTTTTTTCTCGGCTCTTCTGGACTGCAATCCACGAGGTTTATCCACGGCCTCAGGCCAAAAGTTGACTGAGCTGCCAGGGCCAAAGCGCAGCTTTGTTTGCCCTTTCAACTTGACACAATGCTGCTGCACCCACTGGTGGGCCCTGCCGTCATGCACCTTTGTGTGCTTGTGGCATTGTTGGCATTCAAGCCATTGTCCCCTTCTATGCAACTCATGATTGGGGTGGATACGGCTCCGTAAATGAAGATCAGCTCCTTCCACAGGGCCCGTCAAGCAAGGCTTCGCCTGAATGTTCAGCAGCTGGGCCTTCCCACTTCGTCTATGGACCTTCAACCAACACAGGCGGCACCCAAAGTTGCTACCCTGGACAAACCAGCAGTGTCCACTTTGCCCTTCCACTAGGAGGCTGGAATCATCCATACATCAGCGATTTTCAGGCTGCGGGCTCGAACACTTTCATGGTGGCGCCCATGGCATTCTGCAATTCACTCACAAAATTTGATGGAGACCAAAGCAGGGGCATGCGGCTGGGACCGGGCGCGTCAGCAAGCGCGAGGACACCAGCCAAGGGGACCTCGCCCTCAACCGCTCAATCGTGCAAACAACGGTCCTCCGCTTGAACGGCTGCGCGTTAGTGCGAGCTAGCATTTGTCGAGGAATGACGTGGCCCTCGGCCCCAACAGTTTGCCGAGCAATGCGGGACCAAGCATGCTCCAGGACATGCGGCGTGCGAGTGCGCCACTGTGCGGGCAGCGGCTGCATGGCCGCCCTACACGTCCAAGCGGCGGCCAGGAAAGTCTGGAAAGCAATAGTGCGAACTGGCAGTCCCTGCGGAAGGATCATTCGCACCGATCTACCTATTATGCGGGAACCACTACTGTGAGGCACTGTTCGCGACTTACACCAGCGGTGACATGCGCGTATCGGGTGTCGCCCTGTTGCCATTGGGTCCGCTCGTGGGCCGTTGCTTGTGCGTTCTTGTTTTGTGAAGGCCTTAGAAAAATGATCCAATCTGTTAGTCACAGGGTGGCCGAAACTGACAAACATGACATCAACCCCGAAATCCAAAATTGACATTGGCCGAGGCCGCTTTCCATTCGAAACACAAAGCACAGTGAAACAACACGTTTTTTTGGCTGGAACGCGCAACTCTCAAAGTGTAGGGTTTGCCCATCACCAGCGGCAGCAGCAAACCCACAGCGCAAGTCCAGAAGGAAGACCCAAAATAATCCAAAGAGACTTATCCAGTCAGGATGGGAGACAACTGGGGTTGGTGGATGGCTCTGTGTAGAGGGCAAGTAGGCCTCGGTGTTGGGGCAGTCCCCCGCTGGCAGGGAAAGCAAACATGACGCAAAGGCTTGCATAGCCTCATGGGTGAGCATCTTGTGCGTTCTGATTGTTTTCTACATACATGTAGGCCTAATGTCAAACCCCCTATCCCAAGCATTCCAAAGCGTCCGGAAATTTTTTCCCCTTGCAAAGATTTGCCCCCCCAAAAAAAAACAAAAAACAAACAAACCTTGCATTGAGCACATCTGCGAGCTGGCCAGTATAAAAAACAATTCCAGTTCAGACTGCTTGCGCGGAAAAAATGCGAGGAAAAACATGGACCAGAAACATTGACATGACTGTTTCTCTCACAATAATGCCACATCATGGTTCTGGAGTAAGCAACAGGAGCAGCACAAATGATGACCTGACCACCTTGGGTGACCCCCCGCTCTCTTAGAGGCAATGGCCAAGGTAATCAATCGATTGTCACTTTCGGGTAGTTGCTGCAAATGTGGCCAGGGAAAGTCAACAACACGAGCCCTTGCTTGGACTGAGGCCGGGAATGGCCACATAATATCGTAGAACAATTATGCCAGTAATGGTGAGTGGTCAAGGGTTTCGTGTTCCTTCTAGGTTCATTTCACTTGCATTTTGCTTTGTTCTTCTTTCATGGCAAATTTTGCATGACCAAACCGCCTAATTCCCAGGGTTCTCGGAGTGAGGTCGGGGTTAATGGTTTGACCCCATGTTTTCGGATCCAATATTCCAGACATGCCGGTGGCACGGTGTTTCTTGCACAATTTTTCGGTCAGACCAGGCTGGACACCAAATAGTTGCCCACCGCACTGCGAAAAATGCAACAACCCTATCAACATCAACCTTGCCACCTTGGTTCTTCTTTTTCCGCCCGCGCACGAAAGAATAAAAAAACTAAAAAAGTCCTTCGCGAACAAGAAGACCACAACATCCAACAAGCCGTGACCAAAGCACAACAATGGTTCACCCTTTTGTGTTTGATGCCATGGGGGGTCTTCTCACTGCCCAGACGTGCTGTGTTCAAACTGTGATGTGAACCGCGTTTCGTCTTCCAGTCACTCCTGCAGGCTCTCATTGCACCAGGCGTTGCACGGTTAGACATAAGAGCGGTACAGCTCAGTTACAACTAAGGAAAAAGAGTCCTCTTTGAAATTTGCATGGTGGACGGGGATACTGCAACAAACCCACCTTCAGCTGCTCAGGCATGTATGGATGCCGCTGTGTCTTGGCTTGGAGGGGCCCCTTGAGCGACCACACGGTCGCGGATCGCACTGCGTGAGCGATGGAAAGATAAGGTGCTGCTGTGCGCCTTGCTTGGACCTTGTTAGATCTCGGATCGTCAGATCCTTTCTTTTTGATTGAGCCCAATAGTCGCTACCGGTGCACACTCCGTGCGTTGGCAGCGGAGCAGCTGTTGCTGACTCCAGGGATCGCTACTACTTGCTTGTGGACCGCTTCGGCACGTTCGGCGACCCTTTGCCCCTGATTGGTGGCGGACCTTGCTAGCACTACCTCTAAGAGGACCTCCTTGTGACTGGCACTACTTTTTGCAATTCATTTCTCCTTGTGGACCCCTTTGTTTTGTATTTTCTCCACCTCTGTCTCAACAATGGCAGAGAAAGAAGGTCACATCCCAGCTTGGGATGGCCGTGCACAAACATGGCGACGATACACCAAAGAAGTCGTCTGGTATGTGAGATCGACTCCAATTCACAAGAGACAGTACTGTGCCACTCGACTTCTCTCTCGGCTTACAGGGCCGGCACGGCTACTTGCAATGTCATGGGTTGATCTCAATCTCGATCATCCAGATGGTGTACGTGAACTTCTCCAGCGACTTGCCGCTTCGCCCTTGGTGCGGCAGAGCCTGCCAAATGCGGCAGCCATTTGCCAGCAATACTTTCAGTTCCATCGGAAGCCCTCAGAATCCATCCAGTCATTCCTTGTGCGAGAAGCTTTGGGCTACACTGAATTCGTGGAGGCCTTAGTCCGCCTCTATGAGGACAAACATGGTGTCCGTCAGGAAGACAAGGACTATGGTCTGCCCAAGGCCGATGAGTTGGAAGAGTGGAATGAATGGGAAGAAGGAAATACCGATTCTCCTCATAGTTCTCGACGCCGTTCTGTTCGAGCTGCACATGCTTCAGAATATGGCGACGCTCCCTGGCCTGATGAAGAAGACCCCTTGCAGCCAGAAAGCGGCTCACCTTGGCATGCTTCCACTGTGCCCTCACGTCAGTCCGTTGGCGTTCAACCGAGCACCAGTGGACCTCCGGAATTATCCTGGACCGACAGTTTTGTCCTGGGCGTTCTTCGTGGGTTCCGACTGCTGCAATCCTCAGGCCTGACGCCGGAGGATAAGCGAGATATCATCAGCACCACTCGTGGCAGTCTTGAGTTCGATGTGGTGGCAAGAGCTCTCCAGACTCTATGGGATGAACAATTCCTGGGCCGGCAGAATAACACCTTCCAGAACCACATGCTTGAGGAGCACGACGCTCTTGTGGCTGAGAATGGTGACTGGTCCTGGGCACTACATGGTGACTCATGGGAGTCTGGTGGCTGGGAGGATTGGTCTGATCCTCATTCGCAGTACTATGCTGCGGATTGGACTGACTATGATTGGGAGGACGCTCATGTACAAGAAGCTCATGAAGCCTCTGCTGAGGACACTGAGGCCTTGAAGGAGGCTCAACAGGCTGAAAAGGTTGCTGAATCCTTGGCCGCAGAAGCTCAGAGAACTTGGAGCGAGGCCCAGAGGGCCACAGCTGCCTTGCGTCGAGATCGAGGGTTTGGACATGTTGTTGGTGCCCCTGGTAAAGGTGGAAAAGGACCCTGTTTCATTTGTGGTGGACCTCACTACTCCAAGGTATGCCCCGACAGACGTCATCCTTCCTACTCTAAGGGCTATAAGGGGAAGAATAGCTTCTACCAGTATGACTACAACCCTGAAGAGCTCTATTTTGTTGGGAAGGGTAAGGGCAAACAGAAGGGAAAGCACTCCACCTTCTTCGCCTCCAAGGGGAAGAAGGGAAAGGGGAAGTCATCTTCCTCGATGATGACGCGGCCGCCTGTCAATGCCTATGCGGCCGATGAAGTTTTCATGGGTGCCCTAGAGATCGCTGAGGCTCACCGGGCGGAAACCGCCACGCCCCTAGAGGCCATGGGAGCCCACCAAGGTTTGCTTGATTGCGGTGCGACAGCTTCGGCTGGCCCCCAAGTTGCTGTCGAGAGCCTCATGAAGGCCATTCTGTCGAAAGACCACCAAGCTCAGATCGAGATCCAAAAGGATGAGAGACCATACTTTCGTTTCGGAAACGGTCGTTGGGGGCAAGCGCTTTATCGCGTACATGTTTGTTCAAGGGCATCCGGTGAACCTCGCATTTTCCAACTATATGCGCTACCAAACCCTCCTGATCTTCATGATCCCAACTTTGATAGGTCTACGTTGGTTCCTATTTTGGTAGGGATGAGTCATTTGGCTGGGTCGTGTTCGTCGATGGCGGTGGACTTCCGAACTGGGATGGCCATGGACACCTTCAAGAATGAACCTGAAGCCTATAGACTTCCAAGCAACCGCAAGGGCCACTATATCCTGGATATTGTCAACTACCTCACTGGGGGACGTGAGATTCTTGAAGGTCATGCAGCCATCCGAGTGACGTCGAGCCGAACTTCGAGTCAAGCGGATCTGCACGTGTTAGAGTTTCATCCTCTTGAGCATTATGATGGTTTTGTCCAACAGCCTGTAGAGATTTCAGAAGTTGATTTGCAGCATTCTCTTCATTGTCTTCGACGTTTGCATGAGCACAGTCGTCAACTCTCCAATGCTTCAGCTGTTTTTCAGACCTCAATGCGATCATCCGTGATCCTTGACCCCAATTCGCCTCCTGCTGGCAATCATGTCGGGAAAGGGCACTCCCTCCGATCTCGTGGTGGCGGCCATCAAGGCATCGACACCCAAGAAGAAGGAGACAGCTCCACTCGACCACGACCGCTCCTTCAAGATGGACACAAGGGATCCACGTGCCAGCAGCACTCAGTGGCCGTGCTTCGCCAAACATGTTCCGGCCACCATGAAGTACAATCCTCACGGAGCATGGATCAACTGCGCAGTCTGCCATGTCCGCCTGGAGTACATCCCTCGGGTGGGCTCTCCGGGACAACACACCAAGCTCGACAATCCGGCCATGGTCAAGCGCATGCTCAAGGAGCTCTACGACCTGATGGACGGAGAATCACCGACAGAGGACATCTGTCGCGCAATGCAAGTCAAGATCGATGCGGAGGAGGCCTTGCTCAAGCTGGTGGCCGATGCCAAGAAGTCACCACCAAGGACACCTCCGTCGAAGGGCTACAAGACACCCGTGCAGGACCTGACCCTCTCCATGAGTCAGCGACCAAGCTCCCCGGCTCCCTCCTGGAACATGGTTCATCCGGTGACGGGCACTCAGTCACCGAGTTCCGAGGATTCGGGACCTCTCACCGGAGCCGACATGGAGAAGCTGCTGACCGAGGAAGAGAAGATTCGTCTTGCCGCCCTTCTACGAGATCGAAAGGCCGACGCAATGTCAAGTGGGGATCTCATGAATCCCAACCTGTTCGAAGCAGCGTGAGAGAAGAGAAGACCGCTCCGTTGACCCATCACCTCGGAGCAAAGGTCATGATGATGGTTATGACTTTGACCTCAACTATGGCAGCTGCTGCTATGGATCTATGTGTTGATGGTCGTGATGGTCTTTGGGAAGTTGCTTGTGCTCCTCACAGCTGGCTCTCCGAAGCTTCTATGCAGCATGGCATCCCTTCTCGCCGCATCAATTTGGCAGAAGGCTACGACCTGTACCAAGAGGAGACATGGCACCTTTTGTCTCAACTTCATCGCAAGCACCGTCCTCGCAAGATCTGGTTCTCTTTACCATGCACCAAGTTCTGCAAATGGACCTTCCTCAACTACTCCACGCCAGAACGGAAACTACTTCTTCGTTCCCATCAAAGGCGTGAACGAAAGATGCTCTGGAACATGAACCAGTTCCTCAAGAAGGCCATGGATGCAGACCCCTCAATGCATGTGTATTTTGAATGGACCCATCCTTGTCAGGGTTGGAGTGAAGCACCTATGATCGACCTTGAGCACTACTTCCATGAGAATGATCTCTTCTGGCAAGGTTGCCGTGTAGACGGGTGTGTCTATGGCATGCGCAACCTGAAGGACACCGACTTCATTAAGAAGAGTTGGAAGATCATGACCACCGATGAGCACTTCTGGAAGATCTATCGGGCAAAGACTTGTGGTGGTGGTCACAGTCACAGTTGGATCCAAGGAGCAGAGACTGCCCGATCTGCCTATTATCCTTGGAAGCTATGTCAAGCTATTGCCCGCACTTGGCGTCAGCAATTCCTCTCCGACAAGAATGTCAACTACCTCTTCCGAAACTATGACAAGCCTACAACGGTGCAGGACCTTTTGGCTGCTGAAGAAGAGGCACTACAGCCTGAACTACCTCAAGAAGATGATCTTCTTCCACGAGTACCAGACTATGCTGATGGCATCATTCCTTCCAATGCAGAACGTCAACAATGGCAAGCTAAGGTAGCGCGATTCCACAAGGCCGCTAGGCATCCTACGAATGCCAACCTGGCCCGAATTGTGAAGGAAGCCAATCAACCACAGTGGAAGATCGACCTGGTCAAGAATTTTTCCTGTCCAGCATGTGAAGCACTACGACCTGGTGGTCAGAGCTCTAAGATGGTTCCTCCAGCTTCTACTCATGCTCTTCCAAAGGCGTGGCAAGTGGTTGGAATGGATACTTCCGAATGGCAGGTGCCCAACCAGAAGGTCAAGCTCAAATTCCTTCTGATGGTCGACTTGGCGACCAAACTTCGGGTGGTGCGTGTGATAAAGGAGTACTCCAGCCTCACCATGGATGGAGAGAGCGCCGAGGATGTGATCCACGGCCTGACTGAAAAGTGGCTCGCACACTTCCCAAAACCTGAGTTGATCGTGTGCGACAATGGCATGGGCTTCACCGCGGACAAGTTCAACAAGTTCATGCAGGACCTCAACATCTACATGCACTTTCCTCCTGAGAAGGAGCCTTGGGCACATGGCATTGTTGAAGCTGCCATCCAAGACGTCAAGCACACCGCGAGTGCCATCCAGCTAGATGATTCCACTTTGAGCCCTCGTATGACCTTGGTGCTGGCGACTGCTGCCTTGAACAATACCGAGTACACTGCTGGCTACACCGCCAACCAATGGGCATTTGGAAACATGTTCAACATGTCCGATGAAGACACCCGAACCTTTCAGAATGCGGACCCTTCTCACGAGTTCGCCAAGCTGATTCAACAACGACAAGCTGCTGAAGAAGTGGCCACTCGCACTCGAGCCAAGAGAGTGCTCTCCAAATTGAGCAACACCATCGTCCGTCAACCTCTCAGAAACTTCAACCCCATGGACATGGTCATGGTTTGGCGACGGCTCCAACCCACCTTGATTCACAAGGGTGTTCGTGGAGGTCTAAAGAAGGCTGCCAAGCCTCGATGGATTGGACCTGGAAGAGTTGTTTTTCAGGAGCTACTTCCTCATCAAGAAGAAGGAGATCACCGACGGCATATCTTATGGGTTCTGGTGGGTAGCAAGATGCTTCGTTGCTCAGTGCACTCTGTTCGACCTGTCACTGAGACTGAGCGCTTCACCTATGAGATCACCACCGACGAGGACCCTTCTCAGTGGAAGTCTCTCGCAGACATCCTGCCAAAGCGAGAGTATGTGGACATTGTGGATGAAGTCCCCAATGAAGAAGACCGAGAACTACCAGATCTTCCCGACGAGCCCGACAACACCACCTATGTGCCTATCCGAAGGGCCAAGCATAAGCAGACCTTTGGTCCTGATGAGTATGTCAAGGTGCATCGCTCTTCGCCCCTTGGCTTGGATTCCTCCTCCTCTGCGAATCCAAAGGTGAAGCATTGGATTCCTCCGCCGCCGGCACCTGACCTTGAGTATACTCCATCTGTTGCTCCCGAACCAGGTGAACATGAAGATGATCTACCAGAAGCTGAAGCTGGTGCTGACACCACTGAGGTCAGCGTGAGAGAGAAGCGTGAAGTCAATGACTATGACCGGGAAGTTGAACGACCTCCCAAGAAATCCAAAGATGAAGAGTCTCACAAGAAAGCTCGCTCCAGCTATGACTTGGGCTGGATAGATCTTTTGCGGGCCGATGTTGACAATGAGGTGCAGGACTTTGAGCTCTACCAGGCTTTCCAAGAGACTGAAGAGTTCCTTTGCTTTGAGCTGGACATCTCATTTGACTCCAACAGACAACGCAAACAGTTCTTGCGCAACCCTGTCAGCTACCTGGTTAAGAAGCTCAACTCCTCTGAGGTAAAGTTGGAACGCCTTTCAGCTGCAGATCGCGAACTATTTCATCGAGCCAAGCTGAAGGAGGTGAATTCGTTCCTGAAGAATGCCGCTGTCAGGGCATGCTTGAATGATCAGGAGACCCGGGAGGCCTACACCAGCGGCAGAATCTTGAAAGCTCGATGGGTTCTGACTTGGAAACCCATTCCTCCAGATGAACTTCAAGAGGCCAAGCGTGAACGAGCTCTTCATCCAGACACTACCGTGCTGAATGAGTCAGCCACAGCTAAGGCCAAAGCACGCATTGTACTACTTGGATATCAGCATCCATCTCTCCTTGATCGTGGCTTCAAAACTGCTGCTCCTGTTCAGAGTTTGGTTGGACGCCACCTGCTGTATGTCTTGAGCGTCTGGCATCAATGGGAACTACAAGGACTGGACCTTGCCACGGCTTTCCTTCAGACTCAGCCCACGGAGTCGGACGCAAAGATATGGACATCAGGTGTTGAAGAGTTGAAGACAGCACTCAATGTCCCCCAGGACACTCTGTTGCGCATCCTGCGCAATGTGTACGGCTCCACTACAGCTCCTCGAGGGCTTTGGCTCTCTCTACACAACAAGCTTACTGAGCTTGGAGCTGTTGCCGCTGTTGGCGAGCGTTGTCTATGGCTGTGGTTCAGCAAGACCGAGCTGGACTCCACTGGTCAATTTCCTCGTCTTCTTGGAGCAATGGGAGGACACGTTGACGACTTCCACCGTGTTGGTGATGTGAACAGCTCTGAGTGGCAGGCCATCTGCCAACGCATCGATGCTGCATACCAGTGGGGCAGTGTCAAGCGTGGATGTTACCGCCACGCAGGCACGGACATCACCTCTGTCCGGAAGCCTGATGGTCTTGTCGAGATCGAGGTGGACCAAGACTCCTACATCGAGACCCTTCAGGATGTTGACATCCCAGCTGATCGCATCCGAGCTGATGACAAGCTCTCTCCTTCTGAGTTGGCCAGCTGCAGGGCAGCCCTGGGATCTTTGCAATGGTTGGCCATACAAACCCAACCACAACTCTGCGCTCGATGCAACCTCCTGCTGAGCGATTTGGTGACCAATGGTCAGTTGGAGCACGCCAGGGAGATTCAGAACATGATCACTGAGATTCGCCTGGAATCTTACAAGCTTCGCTTCTTCAAGCCCAAAGATGCTGAGCATTGGAGTGACCTGACCTTCACCACAGTGGCCGACCAGTCGCACAACAACAGACCAGGTGGAAACTCCACCGGAGGTATGATCAGCCTGATCTCAGGACCCTCCTGTCGCTCTGGCCATGTCACTGAGTTCATGTTGAACTGGCGCTGCTGGAAACTCAAGCGCAAGGCGATTGCGTCAAACGACGCAGAAATACAGGCAGTGCTAGAATCCGAAGACTCCAACTTTCGGATGAGGCTCCTATGGACAGAGATCCACGGAGCAGGCCACCAAAGGCCAAAAGAGCGCCACGACTTGGTGGAGGAGACGGAGAAGCAGGCCCGTCTTGTGAAAGGCATCCTCTGCACCGACAGCCGTGGAGGCTACGACGCTGTGGAGATGAACGAATCTCCACTCCTTGGATTATCCAATATGAGGGCAGCGCTTCAGGCCTTTCAGTTGCGTGATAATCTGAGGAGAGTTGGGGCTGAACTTCGTTGGCTAGCTTCCGATTTCGACCTGGCCGACAGCCTCACAAAGCGCAAGGCTTCCTGTCGAGAAGGATTGGTCAAATTCCTTCAGACCAACCGCTGGAGCATCGCCTTCGATCCACAGTTCGTTGCAGCCAAAAGAAACAAAAAGACAGGCCACACCGCCGTCTCCAAGGTGGACCAAGCCATGGCATGGAATGAGGGTCATCATTTTGAGCCCTTTGACCTTTTTTGTAGTGACTCCTCCGAGCTGCACCATCTTCACACCTTCGCAGCTGATTTTCTCTTTTGGGGTGGTGCAACAAACCCACCTTCAGCTGCTCAGGCATGTATGGATGCCGCTGTGTCTTGGCTTGGAGGGGCCCCTTGAGCGACCACACGGTCGCGGATCGCACTGCGTGAGCGATGGAAAGATAAGGTGCTGCTGTGCGCCTTGCTTGGACCTTGTTAGATCTCGGATCGTCAGATCCTTCCTTTTTGATTGAGCCCAATAGTCGCTACCGGTGCACACTCCGTGCAGATACCCCATTTTGTGCCGGAAAAAGGGTCTGGGCTTACAAAATGCGACGCACACTTTTTTATAATAGTACAAAGTGTCGAATGCTGGTTTTTTACAAAGTGATGGTTCTACGCAAGACACAACACCTCCCCATCACCATGCGTCCAGCTACCCGCCACGCTTGGACTTCCCGCTGGGCAGCGCATCCCTCCGCGGCTGCCATGCGAGCTCTAGCCTGCAGTCCCCTTCACCTTCCTGCCTCCGAGGGCAACAACATCGAAGGCTCCGAGCCATACCTTGCCACCTCCTTACATTTCACCCCCACGGCCCCCCCTTTACCCCCCCATCCTCACACCTAATACCGATTGGACTTTGCACATCTGGAGCCTGGCCAGTATTAAAACAGTCAGCAGCCCACGCACAGCTGGAGATGGGCCAGAATATAAATAGTCATGACCTTCTGCAGCAAAAAGGCGCGGAAAACAAAAAAATGGGGGAAGTATGAGGCACTGGCTCTTGTTAGAACAGGACCTGATTGTTTTCAGAGACATGACGCCTAAGTGTTGGGCCAAGCAAAAGAAACAGACTTTCTGAGCGACAATGGCTACAAAATGGCTGGCCCCGTGGCTAGGTTTGATCTCACGCACCGCTTGAATATTCAGGTTCCTATTTTGGGCGGTGACTTCAATGCTTGTTTGGGAATTTGCAGACAAGGCCCTTGGACTCACTGGGGGTATATTTTTGCAAGATGGGTCATGCAACATGGGCTCCAAGTTTACAGATCGATTGCGACCGGTCGAACATGCAAATGACAGTTGGTCTTGCATTCGTAGCATGGATCATGCGCATGTACAGTTGGATTTTATCCTCACAAACTTGCGTGCGTGCCAGTATGGGGCGGTCATGGAATGATTTCACGATTGCAACAAGTTTGGGCTTCACGGTTTCCACAACTTTCTGCGCAAGTTCTTATCGAAAACTTCCTGTGTCACTTGCAATTCTTTGGAGGTGGCGCTGGTGAAAGGTGGGGTTCATCATGGAAATTGCAGAGTCCAGGTTCGTGCGTTTGCTCCATCCGTGCAATTGAAGATGTTGCAGCAACAGCGAACACAAAAAGAGAGTCCTGAATCGCGAAAACAATTGACCTTCACAATTCGAAAACTGAAAAGGAAAGAAGTTAAGGAATGGAAGGCAGTTCGAATAGATGAATGGCTTGGTCACCCTTGTCACTGGCGGCACTTGCGGAGTTTGAATCGCAAATCATTCGGTTAAACTGTTGTGAACCATCCTGTGGCTGAAATCTTTGCGAGTGATCTGACCGTATTGTTCCTGAATGCTGGCGAACTACATTTTTCCGCATGTTAGCTAAAAAGGCCAATGCTGTTACATCAAACGATTTCCGGCCCCATTGTTAGTGTGATATTATTGTACAAAGTCTTTGCGTGCAAATATATATATATATGCATATATATATATATGCTTTTGCATCGTATCGAACCGGTTTTGGACCAGCACCAGCCCGAGGAACAACATGGTTTTCGAGCTGGTAGGCGTATGGAAGAACATTTGCTCAGTGCCAATTTGTTTTCTGACAAAACAAAAATGATCAGCGTGCCTGTTTGGATAGTGAGCCTTGATTTGTCCAAACAGCAAAATGTTTGTGGCAAGCCGTGATCGTACATCACGCAGGTCTGGCCGCTACGCACTGCGCACCCCGGCGTGGCGTTGCTGTGTGCACATTTTTAAGAATGTCCCTGGAAATTTATGTCCAAGGTGAGGCGGCAAAAGGCGAAACACTGATGAAGCTACCCACGGGGTCCGAGCGGTGGGAAGTTCGTACTTTCCACGTTGGTTTCTTCTGCGCCTGAAACGCCCGTGCGGGCGACCTCCGCTGGGGTGCCGGCACTGTGGGCAATGCCGTGCTCTGCCACGTGCTGTTGCGGTTCATTCGCGGGTGGGGCTGGGCGACGAGGCAAGCAGGCATGGAAGGGTGGGTGGTCAGACCGGCATCATGGTCGAGGGCGAACTCCTGCGGAACACTTGGTGGGCGCTTGGCGCAGCGCAGCAGTGAAGCAAGAGTCAAGCTGCTTGGGTTTGGGAAGGTTTCGCTGTTCAATCTGGTGGTGCCAGCACGGTGGGCAGGGTGGCTGATTGGCAGGTTGAGGACTCAAACCTTGTTTTTCGGGCATCATTAACTTTTGCACAGGTGCCCCTGGCAGCTGAATATCCGGAGTCCTGTTTCGGCTGCTCCACAGGTGCCAGCAGTACACACGGGTTTTGCCGACACCAAGGACCTCAAGTGCAAACATTTGAGGTGTCACTTGTCGTTTGGTGTTGGTGGAACCATCGCCGGGATGCGGTAGTGGCCTAGCATAGTCCCAAAAACTATGGTGTTGATGATCAATCATTGTGACTCCTTAGAAACGACCACTGTGGTTGGCCATGTTGGATTTGGTTTCTCCCGCGTAGTTTTTATAGGGTGCTACGTTGGCAATACCAGGGTTCCTGTGGCTGGGCATGCCATGCCCTAGCTGCAGTCTCCCGGTTGAAATTGAGTATCTCAAGAGCACTACTTGCACAAACCGGGCCACGAGGCTCCGCAGTGAAGCGCGAATCATCGACAATACAGTTTCGGCCACGTTCTACAATTGTTGGTTGCTCCTAGTTGCAACTCCTATTGACCCGTGGGCCAAAAAGGGTTTTGGCGACCAAGTGAGCTTGGCATTCCCATGTCAGCAGGCATATTCGCATGTTGCCACCAAGGACCTTAGGGCACAACAGTTTGTTGCAACTGTTTGACAGCACCACTTATGGTACGCAGGCAGGCCGGGGCTTCGTGCCAAACAAAATTTTGAGAAAGAACTCAGACACGAATCCGAATCCACCTTTTTGTGGTTGACCAAACCAAGAAACAGGCCGATGTCCGGGAATTGATTGGTTTGAGCAAGGTCTGGCGCCGCTTGACGACATGCATTGGAAAGGTGAAACGAAACGGTGTAAAGCATGCACGCTTCAATGCCAAAGTTATCCCGATTGCAGGACCTGCGGCACGTTGGGGCAAGTTTGAGAAAGGAACACACCTGAAACCCAACAATTCCAAATGCGCAAAATGTTGTATTGATGGTTCACTCGCCATGCTCCCTGCATGCTGAAAGAAATGCCAGTCCTACTTTTTGGGTTGTGTGTTGGCTCGGCCGGGACCAAAACGTATATGTTCTATTTCAACCGCCATTCACGAATTGCGCCTTACACTCGTGACACCCCAAGAGCCCAATTCAACATGTTCTCGCCCCAACCACCAGCAATAGCGAAACACAAGCACAAATCGCCAGAAACTCTGCAGAAGAATAGCGTTGCATCCGTGGTTGAATCGTCGGTGATTCTACACAATGTGTCCAAGGAGGTGTTCTGACCTTGCTTGGCGCTGCTAGGTTCTTTCAAATTTTTTGGGATGTAAGTTTCCTTGGTGCACGGTCCTGTATGCATGCAATTGACCCAACTCGCAAAAAATGCAACAACCAAACCCAAATGTTTTTTCAACGATTTTCCCGAGAGCGCCTGCGAAGGGTTCTTCGTAAAGAAACAGCCGTTGTAATACATCTGCAGATCTACATCTTCACATCCTCACATCTGCTGATCTACATCTTCAGATCTGCAAGTCCTGTCTCTCTCTTGTTCTCTCTTTCTCTCTCTGTCTTTCTCTCTCTCTCTCTCTCTCTTTCTCTCCTGTCAAGATACAAGTTCTTTTACTATAGCTTACTTACTCCATCGTAGTGTTCATGTACAATTGCATGGTGCTATACAATGCACCTTGGATCGAGGCCTTGAGCCTAAGGACAGTTGCCAGAGGAAAACAATACAGAGACGTGCACAAACAAGCAACAAACAAACAGCTGCTGAATTTTACATGGTAGCGGAGCGAGGATCCTGGTAACAACAATCCAGGTGAGCTCCAGTAGCCTTGACCCTACAACAGGTAGCTTGTACAGCTGCAACAATGGCAGCACAACCAGCAGCAGCTCAAGCTGGAGATGGCCTACCTCCAGTTCCAGAAGACGAGACAATCACAAACATGGCAAACATGAACAGATACAAACTCAAGCCACCTTTCTTCAATGGAGACTATGGCACGTTCGAAGAATGGAAATACAAGTTCACAGCATACATGGGATTGCAAGACAATGATTACACAGAACTACTACAAGCAGCAGAACGAGGCACAGCAGAACTCACAGAGCTACAATTACGAGCAGCGGCGTCAACAATCGAAGACGGTGAACGACATGTTCGCCTCAGCACTGATTTGAGGTACATCCTCATCAACACAACAACAGGAGCAGCAGCTACAGTATGCAGACAATACCAACACACAATTGGCTTCGAGATGTACCGACAACTGTGCATCCGCTTCTCCATCCCATTGGGGACAAGATCCATAGGACACTTGACAAGATTGTTGAAACCAACATTTGACAAGAACAACTTCGAAGAATCATTTTCCACGTGGGAATTTGAACTACAACGATTTGAGCGAGACAATGGACAAACACTCCCAGACTCCGTGAAGATTGCCGTATTGTTCAACGAGACAAGTGGACTACTACAACAACACCTACAATTGCTTTCAGGACAAAGCCCAAACTACGCACGAGTCAAACAAACAATCATCGAGTACTACAGATCGACAACAGCATTCAGCAAACTACAACAACTACGATCACAATCGTCCAGCGTGGTGACAAGCTTCGGTGGAGGACAAGCACCTATGGACATTGATGCAATCCACAAAGGAAAAAGAAAGCACAACAGTTACAAAGGAAAAGGCAAGGGAAAAGGAAAGAACAAAGGCAAGGGCTACGGAGGATACAACG